GTTTACATAGATGATTTTAATTGATTAAGTAATTAATTAATTAATTTAAGTCAACTTTTCTAGTTTTTTTATATAAATTAATTAAAAAACTACATTTATTATATATTTTATATGTATAAAAATCCATTAATATATTATAAGTTAGAAGTTAAAAACATGATAATTAAATTTTAACACAGTCGAGACTTGAACATGCATCTTCTGCACAATAGGAGAAGGTAACAAACTAGTAGAACCATTGCATTCGGTGTTGTAATTGCACCAAATCAGAAATCTTTCTTCAATCTGCGTCTTCACTTCGGATGAACCTGCAAAATCTCGAGGTGGGTCCTCGGGGTAGACACTTCGATGCCTAAGTCAGCAATAATCGGGTCTATCTCTAGACTAATGAAAAAGGAGCTTTAGGATGGTTTCCATTTCCTTTCTAAGGTGGCCCTTGTGGGGTATTTATAGGCCTTCATGAGGTATCCACGTGGCTTGCTTAGCAGGATGATCGGAGTGTAACGTGTCTCTTAAAGAGATAAATTCGGGACCGGTGACAAATTCGGGGCAAGGGAATTGTGTGATAAATCAGGTATGTGCATGCCCACTGTATTTACTGTGCAACTGTTTGACCAGAAGTGCTGGATTTAACTTCACTTCGGCTATTAAGGAATTATAGTAGTACGTCCGAGGTCCTTAACCTCGGACCTATCCTTACACTATTCCCCCCTCGAAGTCATTCAGTTGTGAATGATTAGTGTGGAAGATGAGTGTAGATGGGGGTAGTCAATATAAAAATGTATGACATGAAGTCGTGTTTTTGGCTACAGTCGAGGTAAAAATGCATGACATAGAGTCATGTGTTTTGGGTCGTAGCCAAGGAAAAAATGCATGACATGGAGTCATGTGTTATAGACGTAGTTGAAGTAAAATTGCATGACATGGAGTCATCTGTTATGGCCGTAGTCGAAGTAAAATTGCATGACATGGAGTCATGTGTTATGGCCGTAGCCAAAGTAAAATTGATGACTCAATCACTGTGACCAGAGCCGAAGTAATATAGGTGACGTGTGGTCACTATGGCTAGAGTCGAAGTAAAATAGGTGACACATAGTCACTATGGCAGGAGCCGAAGTAAAATAGGTGACTCGGGGTCACTATGGCTGGAGCCGAGGTAAATAATGATGACTGGAGTCATAGCGGTCGGAGCCGAAATAAAAGTAATGACCGGAGTCATGTGGCCGGAGCTGAGGTAATAAGTAATGACCGGAGACATGTGGCCGGAGCTAAGGTAATAAGCAATGACCGAAGTTATAAGGGCCGGAGCCGAAATAAAAGTAATGATCGAAGTCATGTGGCTGGAGCTGAAATAAAATATGTGACTCGGGGGCACTGTGGCCGTAGCTGAAGTAAAGATGCATGACCCATAGTCATGTGTTATGGTTATAGCTGAGAATGATGACTTGAAAATGACGACTCAAAAGTGACGATTTGCAACCTCATGAGTCATAATAATGGAAGTCAGACTTTTGAGAGTCATGCTTTATAAAGCTTGGATCAAAACCAATTTTTGAAGAGTTGATTGAATGCCAATTTTGGTAGCTGGAGATGCCTATAACAGAATCCCACCTTGAGATGCCCATAAGAAAATCTTGGTCTCTCGAGTCATAGCATAAAATCAAACCCCTTTGAGGGTTGTGCTTTGCAGAGTTAAGATTGAACTGAGCTTTCATAGAACAAATGAGCTGAGAAGCTGATAGTTGATGGACGTAAGCTCTTGTAGATCGAATGGGCTAAAAAAGCCAATAGCTAATGGGCTCAAGGGCCAATAGTATTTTCTGATGAATTGATAAGTTTAAAAGCTGATAACATATTTCTGAGTCTTCCAAGCCAAGGAGTTAACAAACTCATGAGGCCTGTAAGAATTCATTCTAAACATAGAACTTGACAAGATACCATTAGTTCATCAATAATCAATAATATATGAAATGCATCAACATTAAAGTGGCACAATAATTAAATATAAATGTCTATGGCATGAGTCATCAATAATAAGATATGAATATTTAAAATATACTCAGGTTGAGTTATTCAAGCAGCAAATTAAACAATTAAACGCATGCCAAGCAAAGTATAGAAGTTTATGTTTATGTATTCCCACTCCCCCTCTCAAAGAGAGATTTATCTCTTTAAGTTAGAACTAATAATAAAGACCACTAGCTCGTGGATACCATTAGCTTGTAAATTATTCCACCATTTGTAGGAGGCTCCACAAATGTATAAATAAATGTCATTTAAGCCACTCACTTTTAGTTAAAACATGAAGAATATATTATATTCAATATATTCAATAAATAGGGGCTTAGCATATCTTATTAATGAATGACCCCTGAGAGGTGGAACAGGATGGCTAATGAAATGGCAAGCTGGCTGCAAGCTTGCTGTCTTGAAAAGTTGGCGAAGTAAACCAACTAGCTACAAGCCGAGATCTCTAGAGTAGATTCAAAATGATTAACGTGGCTTTAGGAGGCTAATTGCCAGTGTTTTAGATTTCTTTTTAGTTTATTGTATGCTTGTTCTAATAAACTACAGCCCACAAGGCCTCCACGCTATATAAAAGTTCATAATATATATATATATATTCTTCATTGGGTGCTTTAGAAATTTTATTAGGTGACATCCTTGAATGTCTCACCTAACTTCATGGATCACCTTGCCTATTATATTGAAATATTTCAAGGTTTTCCTTATTTTAACTAATCAACTAGACTTGAGCTCGGTTGTCATAAGGATGAGCTCAAGTAGTTGAGTTCATCTGAGGTTGTTTACCTCATCCAGGGGTAGTTCACCTTGGAATGGGCTATCATGAGGATGAGCTCAAGTAGTTGAGTTCATCCGAGAGTGTTTACCTCATCCAAGGTTGTTCACCTTGGAATGGGTTGTCATGAGGATGAGTTCAAGTAGTTGAGTTCATCTGAGAGTGTTTACCTCATCTGAGAGTGTTTACCTCATCCAAGGTAGTTCACCTTGGAATGGGTTGTGAGGATGAGTTGAAGTAGTTGAGTTCATCCGAGAGTGTTTACCTCATCC